ATCACCATTCTAACAGGTATAAGGTGATGTATCTTGTGGTTTCAATTTCTGTCTCCATTTACCTGATTAGTGATATCAAGCATTTTATTCCTTCCTATTGGTCATTTTGGGAAGTGTCTACTCAACTCCATTATTTATTATTTTTATTTTTTATTTTTATTATTTTTATTATTATTTATTCTTTGCTGGGCTAGGAATTGAACCCAGAAGCTTTACCAGAGCTACATCCAGAGCCCATTTTATTTTATTTTATATTATTTTTTGTACCAGGGATCGAACTCAGGGGCACTCAACCACTGAGCAACATTCCTAGTCCTATTTTGTATTTTATTTAGAGATAGGGTCTCACTGAGTTGCTTTAGTGCCTCACCATTGCTGAGGCTGGCTTTGAACATGATAGTCCTGTCTCAGCCTCCCCAGCTGCTGGGATTATAGGCATGCATGTGCCACTGTGCCCCGCCCTTTTTTTATTTTGAGAAAGGGTTTCACTAAGTTAGAATCTTGCTGAATTGTTGAGGCTGGCCTTGAATTTGCAGTCCCTCCTGCTTCAGTCTCTGTAGTTGCTGGGATTACAGGCATGCTCCACTTTGCCCAGCTACTGACCATTTTTTATCTGAATTTTTGTTGTGGTGGTGAATAGTTGTTTCAGTGTTGATCCATTAGTTTTTTTCATAGGTTGGAGTAGGGTTCTTAGATTCCACTGCTGAGAAAGAAGCCTCCTTCTACCACCCACAAAAATTTGTGATACTTGGAAAATTTGTAATAAAAACCTTCCCTCTTTCTAGACAGAAAGTGTTTACTGCACCCTAGGAACTTTCTTGGAAAAATTTGGGGAAGAGCTAGACAAGGTTCTTTGAGGAAAGTAGGTAAAATCACTTTTGATTTCAACTTGCAATCATATTCCTTCACTCTGTTACTTTTAAAAACAGGTCGTGGAGGGTCAAAAATAAAAGAAATCCAAAATATGACAAATACAAGGATACAGGTAAGTCATCTATTTGTTTTGTTTTTGTTTTCATAGTGGGGATTGAACCCAGTAGTGTTTTTATCAGCAGTACATCTCCAGTTGTTGTTGTTGTTGTTTTAACACAGAACATGCTTTAATTTCATATAAAAAGAAAATAAGCAACTAAATACAATGGCTGTTTTAATCAGCTTTTTGGTTTTTGTTTGTTTGTTTGTTTTTGAGATAGGGTCTCACTAATTTGAGGGTATCACTAAATTGCTGAAAGTTGCCTCAAACTTGCCATCCTCCTGCCTCAACCTCCTGAGTCACAGGGATTATAGGCCTGCATCATCATGCCCAACTGTCATCTGTGTCCTTAAATCCTAAAAGCATAGTTCATTCCAAAAGGAAGACTTACCTCTGTTTCTGCTCAGTTATTAACATGCTGTCATAAGTTGCCAAAGTTCTTCATGATTGTCAAGATCATTATGATCCTTTTACTTGAGCTATGTTCTGTTCCGTGTATAGGTTTTGAGACTTTCAGAGATATAGATTTTTTTTTTTTTTGGTACTAGAGATTGAACCCAGGGGCACTTAACCACTGAGCCACATCCCTGGCCCTTTTTATATTTAGAGACAGGATCTCACTGAGTTGCTTAGAGCCTCACTAAATTGCCAAGGATGGCTTTGAACTCATGATCCTCCTGCCTCAACCTTTTAGGCCACTGGGATTACAGATATGCATCACAACACTTGGCTAGATCTTTTTTCTTTAAGGGGGAAAGATATATTTTGACTTCTTGTTTCAGAGGTTCCAGACTATAGTTGCTTGGTCCCAGTGCTATGGGCCTGAGGTGAGACAGAACATCTTGGTGGGGCAGGTGTGGTGGAGCAAAGCTGCTCACCACCTAGCAGCCAGGAAGCAGAGGGAGAGGGTGAGCCAGAGGTATAAGTCTTTAGATTTAA